TGCATAATGATGCTTATTGTAAATTCCTGCTCACTTTCTTGAGATGTTCTGTAACTGCGTATTGATTGAATTTTCGATATTTTGATTTCCCCTCACACTAGTTTTTAACTTCAAAATCCATGTAAATTTATGAAATATTGAACGAAAACCAGACTGTGATGCCCACATTTGAAGCGGCTTGGATTTTGACATCTTCTCTGCTGTCAATCCAACTTCGAAGTATGTTATTTTCACTTATTATTTTAGAACAGTTTCAAATTTGCGTAGTCTGCAGCTCACAGGATCTTGTGAAATAACCTGACGCCATATTGTGCTCCGAATTCGGTTCTTCTTGCATTTTGGAAATTTGTAAATACACACTTATCCCATAGTAGGGAATGTCTGGTTTTCTTTCCTTTACAATCGTCGCCATCCCTAATATACTCTTCTGACCATCGAAAGTTGTACACATATTGGAGGCCTATTTGCATTTTACGCAAGGCATGATATTATAATTTACAACTGCTTACGCACCCTTATTTTTCTTTATGTTCACTTCATTCTGTTTTCGGGTTCATTACTGTGCATACCATCTCACTGCGACACAGACAACTAAACATTTAATCGCCAAGAGACTTGATTAGGTAGGAAATATACAAGCACATATGTCTAATTGGAGGGAATATTAGCACAGGCCTCCAGGCTTTTGTGTCCAAACGAAAACTGAAATCCTCAGGCAGTATTGGAATGACTGAAACCCTCACAAATTCAATGCTGATTGTATTATTACACACTGCTGAAACATTCCCACATTAGGACTACACAACCATCCAGGCCTCCCTGGTTTTAGTAATGATCTAACTCTTCCTGTTTTGTGATGAAGTCTACATTGAAATGAAATGTTACTGAGAACAGCTTTGATGAGTTGACGCCCTAACGTCAATTAAATATATATTAATATATATTCCTTGTATCACTGAAAGCGGCATGCATCATGTCTAATGGAGACAATCTTGTTTGTTAGCTTTCATGTCAAACATGAAAGCCATATTCATGATAACATTAATATTGACGTTGTTGACAGCAGTATTCTGATGATGGTTTTTTTTACAGTAACTAAAACTTTCAGAAGTTAGAACTGAAATTAAACATTTCATGAACGAATAACTGATCAACATGACTAGTAGGTAGTAGAAACTATTACTCGACTTGGTGTGACTTCTGATGCCTTATTCTCTTTCACTGTACTATCCTGATGGTTGGTTGTATGATAATTGAAGCAGATCATAACAAGAATCTCAAAATTCACATCAACTCAGTGGATTCCTAGAATCAGAAGTGCTAGACAGATCTCCATTAATCTGAAGTTAGTCTGAGAGTCTACTGCACACAGCATAAAGGACCAAATCGAAATGGTTCGCGCGACTCCAAAGATGAGATGACTACACAGGAAGCACTAGTAACAAGGAAGTCTTGAAACCAACTAGCGAAGGAATATTCTCCCAGTAACATCTGTAGAAGAAATAGTAGATAGTTGAATTTTATGGATTCCAGGGAGACAACTGGGTGTGGTCAGTTGTTAATCTTGTGAGTGATAGCCGAATGGGAAATGATCCAGTCTTCTGGGGATGACATGGAGTAGACTGTGTGGTAAGTTGGTGAGAGCACATGGTCAGTAGTATAGTCAGGTAAAAGAAGACCGGAGAGAACAGAGGGAAAGGAAGATGTTGTGATGAAGTCCCAACGTCCACTCGGAACTCAAAGACATAATAACAGTATTACAAGTGAAAGATTCGCTGTGGACTAACGGGATTTTACACAGCTTTCGTTTATCAATCCCTGTGAGCTGAATTACTTATTAATCCATCGATGTAAATCCTCACAAACCTGGATCTATAAAGTACCGTCATTGTTTCATGTTTGTGTTAAAACTGGTATATTGGTGTGATGATGTATAGTCATCCCTTGTGCATTGTTAGGGCTTTCATGAGAGCATGTATATGACTTGGTCATCAGAGATACGCCGGTCTGAATGGTATGTCTTATGAATCACATATTCTAGTCTCTGTTTCTCAATTACACAACAAGTATGCTACCTGCAAATTAATTCACTGTAAACATTGTCCTTTGAGACAGAGTATGGCGTTTGCTGTAAAATTGGTTGTATTTTACTTAGGTAACAAATCTTTCAGATATACCGTTCAATATTTTCGGTCACCTTTCTATGGAACCAATCACTCTCACCTAGTTTAATCCCTCCCTCCAAATTCACCAGAAGGACTAAATCCCGAGAGACAATGAGACGGCTGTGCATTGCTCTCGCAAAGTAATCCAATTTGAATTGTTTTATTACAGACAGAAAAAAGTCAAAAAGCGGAGTCAGTGAAGGGAAATATCTCGGGAGAAATCGAACAGTTGATATTGATGACTGGATACGGGATTTGAATTCCACCATGGAATAAATTTATTTGATAAAAGCACACAGTGATTCAGTATTACTAACATTGATGACAACATTTCGAGCACAATGTACAGCCGAAATTCATAACAAGTCACTCCTCGCATAAATTGCAAACATTTTTTGTTTAATTTCATTATTCCTTATCGTTTGATTTCGTCTGCAGTATTATTTTCTGTATCTGTGGTAGTGGCGTCGGGTTAATCCTTTTCCACGTGTAAGATGGAGTTTCGATGATAGAGGATGCAATGTTTAACCTCCTTCTTCATGTATCTGTATTAGTTTTCAAAACTGTAGCTCTGACCCAGCTTATCATGTGATAGTGTGTATTGATTCATGCGTAGCTCCTTCTGAGTTCTTCTCTAAGCCATTCATCTACATCCGATCCATCATTTCGCAGTAAGTTCAGGTTTTATATTTACAGATTCCTACTACCTCCGACTTACTGGTTTGACCTACGTATTTGACGTCACCGTGTTTGCAAGCTATTTTGTATATTGGATAATCTTTGATCCATTGGTTCCCTAAGTTCCTTCAGCCTACTTAGGTTGTCATCAAGTGAATTCGCAAGTTTAATTTCTACCCGGATTTAGAGATTATTATTTATCCAATTATGGTTTCTGATGCTTTTTCCTTATATGGCGAAATTATCGTTGCCTGAAATCCCTTCTTATTTTGTCATGGTTTACAGTTCAATTAGTGTCTTTTTCCTATTTTCTTGTGAGCCAGTCTTTGTAATCTTCTGAGAGCATTTTATGAGAGAGTTACTCACAAATGATGGAATTATCTCAAGGGAGTTTGAAAGCTATGCGAGCATAACCCGATGTGGTGTTGAGCAATCAACTGTGTCCAAAACATCGTCATTAATAAAACAGAATACCGTGTCACTGTTTGTTTATTTGTCAAGTAAATTCACCCTGTGAATGAGTTATGCTCTATTGTAGTGGTCAAACTATGATCTGATACCAAGGGTCATTTTGAGGAAATAGTGTTATTAGGCGATGAGTTGTGGTAAGGATTCATAGAGTCAGTCAAGTCGAAATGCAGTGAACAGGAAGAAATGAATATGCACCGTTGACACCATGTGTTTCACTCGGGTCACAAAGGGATAATAATTATAATAACAAGGCAACTCAGATAACTTTTTCGCCTAACAGTTGGCTTTATCTGTGCACATCACTTTAGTTTGTAAGAAGGCATTTACACTTTACCTCTGACTATCATACGTGATTCGGCTAAATAAAGAAAGCAGCAACGAAATCATCCAACAGTATAGCAGACATCTGAGCAAGGAGCGACTGGCATCCAGTTGTTTTCTTGTCCAGACATACTTTCCACTAAGTGTGAGAGTACTACTCGAAGATATTAGTTCATAATTTTACGACATCATAACTAGGAGAAAGTTAGATAACATGAAACATGTAAATCCTGATTCAAAAGTCTACAAGATTGTACACCGTTTGTTTGTAGAACAAGACTAAAGATGCAGACTTCTTGAAAGTCTCAAAGTACTATGACATATTAGTTAAGTGCTCCTACATTTTCTAACATGATAGAAATCATCTTCTCATTTCTTATACATTTAAGATAATATGATTTCACAGTGACTTTGTATTTCAAAGTAGATTTCTTCGCAAACAAATCAATGCTGGAGATCACTGAAACCACTACGAAGCATCGAACATTTGTTTTATTTTAGTCCGCGAATCTTTATCGATTCTGAACTTCAATCCCATTAAGGACTGTACTAAGCAGTATCCCAAAATGACGACGTCGTCCTCTCTGATCGTTTTCTCACTTGTATTGATATTCAGTGACACGTGGATTTCAAATTTTTAATCCATGATATAGCTCTACCTCCAACGAATGCCTTCCAGGCGTAACCTATTTACCTTGAGAAGGTGGATCTCATTGATGATGACTTCTCAAGAAATCCATCCATGCGCTAGAGACTGAGAGTCACAATAATTCACTTAAATCTGCACAAAACTTTGTAAAATAAACAACTTCATAGTCTAGTGAAAACGTCTTTTTGTGTTCTTCCTTCACATTCCCAGTGGAACATGGGGCCTCAAGCTATACGCTTAAAATGTCGGAAGCGGTGTTTATTTTTACAGGATTAGATCGCTAGCCTCACGTCCAACCTTCGCTCTTTGCCAGGTCTATTAATGACTTAGAGAAGTACAGGAGTGCGTCGATGGTCGGGGATCGAACCCGGACCATGTGAATGGCCGGTGAGCGTCCTAACCACTGTGCCACTGACCCTCAGTGAAAACGCCTAACGTTAACAAATCATAATGAATTTGCTGTAAACTGTGATGTTAACAGCTTAAGTGTGTGTATGTGTCTGTATGTGTTGTGAAACATACTAGATTGAAGGCGGAAATAATCTAAAGTGAAACAGTAAAACAAATCACAGCTACATTCAATATATGTTTTAGCAGGCATAACCACACCAATCACATATTGAACATGTTGACAATGACAAGCATTGAACACATTCAATCAACTGATCCTGAGTATAAAAACACATCTCATTTAATTTTGAATTCTATTCTTTTCAATTCACGAAAGAGACTGACATACAATGCTGAGCGGAGCACACAGTTTGCTCTTATCGTCAGTAATCATTCTCGGTAAGTATGCTAGAAGATCCCTATTGTGTGTGTCTATTAAGAAGGTAGATAAGGCACTTTATGTTGAGTAATCTTCATATTCTCATATTCCCTTTGTGAAACTCCATGTGAAACACTGAAATTGGACAAATAAATTGGCTGTTTTCACCTGATAAGCAGGCCATTGTTGACTGTTGAGACTAACGCAGAACATCCTGAGTTTGAATTCATCTTCCGTAGAGTACAATAGGTTATATATGTCCAAACGCAGGACACTGTCAACAGTTTGAAAAAAAATTGTTAGTTGATATTCATTATGATAAAGGTTCTTCGAATTTCCTCATGAATCAAAAAGAGAACGATGTTGTTGTTTTTACTGACGTTTCGCTATTTAATGCTGCTGCTAATAGCTTTATCAAAGTCGTTTTACTAAACCAGAATCCCAGCTTATATATAAGAACTCACTTGTATGTTGTGAAGTTGACCAATTTGTAAAGATAATTAATGCAGGTGTATATTATTAGATTTGATAATTGTGAAAATTATAAAAGCAGTGTGTGTTTATATAATGAAATTGCTTTTCACATTCGTGTTGTTTTCGTAATTCGATGGGAGTGGGAGGCGTTGTAATCAGGTCATATTCATTTTTGGTCCATCCCTCCTATTCAGAGACCTTAGATTCCGTGTAACATGAAGTGCTTCTGATGGATATTAGACGTTCTTTGTGATTTGTGAAATTTTTTGGCCTGATTATGTAGTCTGTGGACCTATGGCTGATGATTTTTCAAACTTTTCTAGTTCAGCTTCATTTCTTGGTGGTCGAACAGATTGTCTTCAGTGTCCATTTCTCCTGCTTTTGATATCTCGAGATGTTTGTCCGATGTCTATCACATCACATTCCAAGCATTTTAGTCTGTAGAAACAGTCAGATTGAGAATCACTAGGGTTTTTGTCCTTTATATGAACAAGTTTGTTTTGCTGTGTGTCTGGTGTTCTGAAGAGAACTCTGATTTCGTGCTTATTGAGTTCTTTTCTGATATCATTTGACGTCTCTGACCTATTTGGAAGGATGACTATTGACCATATGCTGAGGAGCGATGATTAAGTTATTATATAATTTGGCCCAAGAAGGCGACAGAAACCAGATATCTCGCCGTTATATCTTCTTGAAGACAACCAGAACGTTGAATAACTCCGAATGGTAGAGATCAATACAGAATTCTCTGAGACCAGATAACAAATTGCTCTGTGATTCACTTGTAATTCAAAATCGTTTATACGACGTTTCAATCCATCAAACCAGTCGGTCTACTGTAATTACGATCTCATTTTCACGTATAAGATTGTACATATGTTAGTATACATGCTCCTCAGCGCTATTCTATCATGTAGTTGATCCAAGTTGATAAAGCCGTTGTGTTTCATATTTTTATTCTGTTTACAAATTCCGATCAATTTGACTCCTAGGTACTCTACTTCCAATGGTATCCTCAGCAATCCTAGTTAAATGGTTTTTATGTAAGTCCATTAAATTATAACCTGATAACGCGCGAAACCTGAAGTTGTTTTGTAAACATTATGACTTTTGCAGTGGTCACATTAATAAAGATAGACACAAGAGGGAGAGTAACTGTCACCCACTACATACCGTGAAATCACAGAAATTATCATGAAGCATTGTCTAACTTACTAAAATAAACTTCATGCATACTGTCATAGTTCTGTGTATCGATCACTGAGTCATTTTCGTTTCACAGGATTTCACTGGTATAGAACTCATTGAAATCTTTGTGATTTCAGATACGTCAATTACTCCCGAACAGATTTCATCATGTAATGTCAGCCATGAAGGAATCGCTGAGAAAACAGGTACACTTACACAAGTATATTATCCTACTGCAAACTCCTTCGATCCACTATCTAACTATCATACATTGCTCACCTATTTAACCATATTTATTCGAATAATGCCAGTGATGTCACATATAAGACATAACTGTCGATAATGCAGAAATTGAAGTAAATAATAAAACAAGTGGACAGCAATAAAATTCAACGACAAAATTCATCCCATCTCATTCGACGACACCATATTTCCACGGTCCACCCAAATTACACAAAATCGTTATTCCATTGTATGCATCACAAGATGTTAAGTTATCCTATTCATCAGCATACTGAGGATGTTGGATTCTCAAAGATTAAGCTTTGAATATGCAACATCAATCAGACACTTAGTTATTTTGTTTCATTTAGGAATGACAATGAGACAGGTGTTGATTCTCATCGCACAAATGTTCCATCTACAGAAACCGTCTAGTTCTGATTTGATTCAACTCATTTCTGTAAAATCCACATTTGTAATCAGTGTTTACAAAGGTGTCTATACTACAATGTTCTTCAATGCATAGATCAGATTGCGTGAGCATATTTACTGATAAAAAGCTGGTCCGACAAAAAATCTCTTTTTCTAACACCCTACTTGGTTGACTGTTTTATTTCATGCAAAGAAAAGACTTGTCTGTTGATAAGGATAAATAAACCTGAATTCGAATAGTGTTCTCATTGCCTGGGATGAAAACGTGATTGTTATAACTTGTTAAATTAGTGTCAATCCTTCTGCTAAATTTAATCTGCAAGTTCAATGGAAATCATCATTCGTCTGTCTTGATGATCATTCACTCCGCATATTTGTTCACACACTATCAACTTAGAATGGGCAGTTTCTTGATTTCCAGAGTTCATTCTTGTTATTTGAGGCATTTGTCTTCGTTAAAAGTGGGAGGGATGTACATCGAAGAGACTGCTGATAAAGTAAAATATTGTTAAGTGTACTAGAGAAGAGAACAGTTTTCATGTGAAAGCAAGGTATCCGATTAAACGTGAATTCGAAGATGAATTACCAAATCATATATGTTATATTACTGAAGACATTTTCTGATACGGACTGATAAAATCTCTACGTAATGCGAACTTTATTGTTAACCTTCAAGTTATTATTATTATTGCTCCCTTGGGTTCCTAGTGGAACATAAAGCTTCAACTGCACGTCTCCACTTGCTTTTGTCCTCCGCTGTACTTTGTCACCTGCATCCATGTTAGTCTATACTGCTTCAACTCCTCTTCACAAGATCTCCTCCATGTCAATCTTGCACTGACGTCCCACTCGCCGCTTCCCTTTCGGGTTCCACTCGATGGCTTGACGCGCGATGTCACCCAGTGGCCTCCTCAGCGAGTGTCCAGTTTAATCCATCTCCACTTTCTCCTGCATATTTGTTGGCTGGCGATTGGTTCTAGTTTTGTTTGTTCCCTTCAGGTTATACTCTTCACCAAAAACGTTTCTTCGAAATATGAAATATAATCTGGTGTAGTAGAACATATCTGTGTGGATATACCACTTGACTTCTTTCTGTAGAAACGAATACACTTGCCCTTTCATGTGTCTGCTTGCTTTTCGCTCCATACTATAAATAATTTCGAGAATTCTTCACAGTTTGTTACTACATATTCACATTTATGTAGGTGAGTAGATGAATTCGTCAAGAGTAGAAAATTTCATTAACTGCAGCTTTCAAATTTTTTAATGATGAAACGGGCATAATTCACAAGCTTAGGCAACTGAATATGACAAACTAAACTACACCAAGAAAATAGGGCACAATTTCCGAAATCGTTGCGTTAATATACCTTCTGTGTGTTTATGTGTGTTGTATTGAATAATCTTAGTAGTATGACATTGTTATAATGTTTTCGATAAAAAAGATCCCTTGTCAGAAATATCGTCACCAAAACTTATTTTCAATCAAGGTCGGTTGGGATTTCAAGCATTTTGCAATATAAGCAGTAAGTTAAATGCTCTATATGTATTTATATGACTTCAATGGATGTACTGCTCACAGAATGAGTCAGTTATGAAGTTTAGCCTTTTTAAATAATTAGAAATTTGATTCCCTGACAGATGATTAGATAGAAGAGTCATGCGAAAACGTCCACAGGTAGGACCATATATGCCATCATAATACATCTGCTGACGTCGCGCAAATAAGTAATCAGCCTGAGGTTTGTGAATGGAAAATATATCCTAAACTCTATTACTTGTATTCTTTCGTGCTAAAGTATTTTCATCTACTTTCTTCATACGATGTAATTCTCTGCAGCTGTCAATGCAAAAACTGGCGTAGAATTATGCTCCTGTCCATACCACGCAAAATACTAAGCCGAATCATCCTGGAGAGAATCAAACAAGCCCTGGATGCAAAACTCCGACCGGAACAGGCAGGATTTAGAAGAAACAAGTCATGTATTGATCAAATCACCACACTACGGATCATCGTTGAGCAAAGCTTGGAATGGCAGTCACCTCTCTATTTCAACTTCATCGACTTTGAAAAGGCCTTCGATGGCGTCGATCGAGAGGTAATTTGGCAACTACTTCGCTACTACTGTGGGGTCTCATCGACAATTATACATTTCATCCAACAGTTATACGACAATGCTGCATGCCAAGTAATTCACAACGAGAAAATTACGGAAGCCTTTGAGATGAGTCGGGAAAGAGACAAGGCTGTCTACTATCGCTAATCATCTTCCTGATTGCGGTAGACTGTATAATGCGACAGACAACGGGCAATGAGGAAACAGGCGTGAAATGAACTCACACAAAAGACTTGGAGGATCTGGACTTCGCCGATGACACATATATGTCTGATTTCCCACAAACTGGAAGACATGCAAGTGAAAAGCAACAAGCTGGCAGAAGAAACATCGAAGATAGGACTTCAAGTTAACATACATAAAACAGAGGTGATGAAGATTCCTAGGCAACAGCAACAACAACAACAGACGACAGTCAGTATAAATGGGAGGAACCTGAAAGAAGCAACCTTCTTTACCTACCTACCTACCTGGGAAGCATCGTTTCAACTACAAATGGAACTGACGGAGATATCAAAGCCAGAATTGGAAAAGCAAGACAAGCTTTCATTACCCTTAAGTCTGTGTGGAGGTTGACATCACCCAGCATCAAAAATAGCATCCGGATTTTCAACTCCAATGTGAAGTCAGTTCTGCTATACGGATCGGAGACTTGGCCAGCGCGTCACAAAGAGCATCTCAAACAAACTTCAGACCTTCATTAACAGTTGTCTTTGCTCAATACTCAGGATCAGATGGCCAGAAAAGATCAGCAACAAAGATCTCTGGCAATGAGCGCACCAACCAGGAACCGATTGTGAAACAAATAGGCACGAAGATATGGATTAGCGATACTCTAAGGAAACCATCAAGTGACATCACTAGACAAGCCATCGCTCGAGTGGAACCCGAAAGGGAAGAGGCACGTTGGTTGTCAGTACAAGGGTTGATTGGGGGAGGTCATGTGAGGAGGAGATGAAAGCATGTGGGTAGACTTGGAGCGGAGCGAAAAAGTTGGCAGAAAACCGAAGGCAATGGAGACGCGCAGCTGAAGCCCTATGTTCCTCTAGCAATTAAAGGATATAATAATATAATAATCTCTTAACACAATGCTGTATCTACATTGATTCACTGTTTCTTACACCACCGTCCTATTACAGTCTATGCTGTGATGCGTTCTTTACACTGATCATATTATTGAATACGTTAGTTTAGCGAACTGTTCATAATTGCATTTACCAATTACAGTAAAGGAAATCACTGGAAACAATCTGCCGTCGAAGTTGTTGAAGTAAATGTCATGAAATACACCAAAGTGAACTCCATATTCTAAGTGAATACTATTCAAAGTATTTGTAAAACTTCTTCAATTTACTGAGGAATTGTACGGAAACACTGGTGACATTATAGTAAAGATCTATCATTGATTGTTCTGATGGAGTAATCGGGAGTTTCTCACTGTGTCACGGTTGAACTTTATTTGATTCTTTGGTAGTCTGCTGATATCTAGATATTCCTGATTCCAGAGGACATCGTTATTTACAGCATTACAGCCACGCAGCTTGTTAATAATAGGTGTCCGATAAAGCTGTAGCACTTGAACGTGGTAAGGTATCGAAAAAGGATGATAAACCCAACACGATTACGTATATACGGGCCTTTGAACTTCCTTACAGCTGCTTAGGTATTTTGATTTGGCAGCTTTTAACGGACTTACTGAAAAACCTGTCAGTGAATATTTTAGTTTTCGAGGTTGCGGTCATCTTAGAAACTGCCCTAACTGTCACGGTCGTAGAATTCATGAGCTGTTGAGCTGAGTCCTATAGGCTCAATCCGTTTTATCCAGTCTTCATGGGACACGAAGTCATTTCTCGCATTCCAGTGTCACATCAAGCATGGCATTCTTACTTACGGACAACAAGATGCAAATCACAAATTCTTTAAATCATGACCACCTTATTGTTGGATAATTTTACCAAGTGAAGCGTTAATGTATATTTTTTTTTAAATCATAGGAACACTGACTGATGGTAAGTTTCTGATGCAGTTGTGCTCAATGTTGGACTTTACAGTACGTGATTTTTTATACATGCTCATTTACTTGGAATAAAATTAAAACGTGTGTCAATGCTGGTGAACATTGAATAGATTGTTTATTAGAACGGGTCTCGCTTGATGGGAGACAAGGAGGCCATCATTGCTTTATTCTGTACTAACTGGCAGAAGATTGGAGAAGTGAGATCAGAACTGTTATTGTACATTATATTGACGTTTATTTACAGAATTCCTCACTGATTAACAATCTCAAATCTGTTTCGTTATCGTTTGAAGAATAAATATTCATGTCACCCAACCGTTTTCTGTCGTTCTGCACCGGTTACAGTGCATAGTGTTCACTGTGTATTAGGCTTAGTCTTCTGAAACCAGTGACGGGTCCAAGATCTCTGAGATCTGGATATTTGACAAAATGTTTGAAATCAATACAGCCAATATATGAAGTTAGCCAATTGCTACTGTTCAGAAAACCTGACTAACACAGAACTCATTTCGTAGAGTAGCTTTCTGTAAACAATAAAGTATGTGTCAGTGCACAAAAAGCTTGTATAAGAAACGGTTATCTGTGTAAATGTCAATGGCTTTATGATTAAAAATGTTCACCTGCCAGTGTTTTAGCTTTTCATTAAGAAGCGACAATAAAACCACCGTATCCTACAAACTGACTAAAACCCATGATTGTATGTCCAATGTGACTGAGCGTTTATAAGACAGCCCTGTTCTTAGACAAACACCAAAACACCCTTGAAGAATAAAACGGTAAGTTTTCTTTACCGAATCGTTAATATGAAGAAAGCTACAAACAATGTAGCATTGAAATGCCGCTCGGCTTTTTATGAAATAACTTTTGTCATTACTCGCTTTCTGAGTACAACTAACTGTTTCAAGATTTGTTGTCTCCCTAGTGCTGATGTCATTCCTGCAGTGTGAGATTGCTAGCCCCGTACTCAACCTTTCCTCTTTTCCATAATTCCTACTGACTAAATAACCGAGATAGGTTTAGGAGTACCTAGATCGAGAATCAAATTCCGGAACACTTTTCTGGATTTCGAGGATCATAACACTGAACCGCTGACAAGCATGAAATGACTTGAATGAAGCGATGTTCGATTAGGTAACGAGAACTACTGAACAGGCCACAAAAGAAGCTCTGTTTTCCATCACACAGTCTATGTTAAATAACAAAACATCAAAGCAAGTCACTTAGGTGCAGTATTTTTGGGTGTGACCAGGGAAACTTCCTTATAATTTCCCTGTTCTCTTCAGGCTCAACATCACTTTTACAAGCACTTCTATAATTACTGATATCCGGCTGTTTTAAGTCTAGTCAGACCTTAGTATAAAGTAACCAGTTTGAAATGTATACACTGTAAATGACGAGAATGAACTGAAAGTGTTTGAATCATTTCTACGAAAGCCAGCACTTTTGCTTTCGAAATAATATGCTTCACTTTTGTAGACATTCTGGCTTCTGGTCAGATATATTGATAATTCGATAATAACTTGCATCCTAATGCTGAATTTCCTCATCAGTCTACCTGTCTAAACATACGAACTCCAAATCGGCATTTTCTTCATCCCTCGACATTCATAAGCTATCCATTGAACATATTCATCTATTCACAACTTTTGTTTGTCACCGGAACAATCTACACAGAGGTCGTTTTGCTTGAACCCATACTGTCCTCTAGTTTTGCGGGCATTAGTGTCAGCTGTGTTTAAAATAAATAAGTACGACATGAAAGATAAGATTCCTAAATTGATTGTTCATGCCTACCTTTCATTACCTATAATTGTTAAGAATTTCACGTAAATATAGCGGTATATGCTTAATATCAAACATGCATTATCTGGAGTGTGAATAAATCATCCAGTAGCTGTTTCGTGGGGATTTTGTGGTATAATATTGAATCTCCAGGTTAAATTATCCTGAGAATCCCTCAGTATTCGTTTTTTTGCCTTCATTGTGAATATCTCCTTTGATTTCCACAGGGTTTAACTCCTAATTACTTACTTCAACTTGAATCTCTAGCGACGAGAGATGAAATTGGAGGGCGAGTATTATCGTAAGTTCTTCTGAAATCATTTTGTAGTATCACATGTGAAGTTTTAGTAAGGCATTTACAGATCCTGTTTCTACAATTTCTAAAACTTTAGTGGAATGGAAAATGCGGGCTAAAATTATGTTTTTGTCAATAAGAACTGAAGACTTAAATAACTCATCGCAATTATAAATCCAGAGAGTTTCTCGTCATCTTCCGAGATCTATAGTTGACAGCAAATAACTGTAGTTATTCAGCTATGTATGTACGGGAGAGAAATCTACACCTGCATAGTTTTAAGCAGCTTATGTCAATCACTAGTAGCACGATAATTTGACTGTTATTTAATTGGTATTTGAAAGTCAAATGACTGAAAATATGTTGCCAACTAACGTTATTCACCAATGTATACATTTGTCGTAGGGTGAAAGCTTTCATCATGATTTCAGTGAAATAAATATTCCCATAATTTATTCAGAACAAAATATTTAGAACGAACAATTGTTTTGAATAAATTCTTCTTCAGGCTCTACAATTATAAATCCATTAATGTAAGCATACAATAGCCAGTAAAGGCGAATTAGAATCATATCAGAAAGTGTATTGTGGAACAAGTATAAGATGGGATGAAACAATAGTCATATAGTCATATAGTTTTTTTAATATGCATGGTCAATAACAACATGGGACAGAATGAGATGAAATAATTTAATGAAGTGTGTATATATATATAAAATATAGTTAACAGAAAATACAGGTTTCAAGAGTGAGTGTAATCAGGGTGTGTGAGGCAATATGAAAATAAAACCAACGAATGGGGCGGTCTAGACTTAAGTTCAAGGTTGAAAATAACAACAATAAGAATGATTGTAAAATAATAACGATGATATGGTGTAAAATTAAAATTAAATGTACTATTTGTGAATGATTGTCAAATAATAATAGTGAATATAATGAAGTGGAATGAACAGGATTTTGTAAATACGATAGCAAGTTAGAAAAGCACTATTTAAACCTAAGGTAATAAAATCATAAGAAAGGTCATGAAATCATAAAAGTCGAAAATGAACGTTTGTCAATGAAACAGAGGAATAGAAGAAGGAAAAGAAAAGAAAATTGTGAAAGGAATTTATAGTGTAAATGGAGGATTTGTTGGCTTTATTGTAGGCCAAGGTAAACATAGAGGTTGAACATACTTCTTCTGTATGCAGAGGGATGGTCTTCTGGTATTAATTGCAACTGCTTCAGCTATGACCGGTACGTTTTCAATTTTTCGTCTGTATGCTTGGATAAGACATAGCTTGAAGCCTTATCTCTCGGCATAAAATTCTGTGACAGACGTAATCAGGTTGATCATTTAGAGACTGATGTCCAATTTGAAAACCTATTTGCCCAGACAAGCGACCTAACTCCTACGTCCAAGTATGAGCTAGAAAGATTTAAAAGTACCCTAATCGATTCCTGCTACCAGTTTAAAAACAGCAAACATCCCGCCAACAGTCTACTTACAAAGAAACACCGAGAGGCATTACGTGACCTCAAAAAGAACGAAAATCTGATAATAACTAGACCTGATAAAGGATCTGGCACAGTTATCATGAACAAGAGTGATTATTTAGACAAAATGAATATCATTCTAAACGACCATACGAAATTTCAAAAGCTAAGCAGTTGTAAAGACACAACGGAGGCAACCGAACGCCAAATGGCTAAGACACTAAAATCATTAGTTGAGAGTAATCTGATTCCTAAAGAAACACTCGACGAATTGAAACCCTCAGGTACGCACACACCAAGACTTTATGGTTTACCGAAAGTCCATAAGCCGGGAGTACCACTACGTCCCATCTTAGATATGTGCCAATCCCCTTATCATTCTACAGCTAAGTGGTTGGTAAAGGCACTAGAACCACTACATCGCGAAGTAGTGAAATTCAGTGTAAAAGACGTATTCAGCTTTGTGGAAACTACCAAAAGCTTGAATGTAAAGGGAAAGAAAATGATGTCACTGGATGTAGCATCATTATTCACCAATGTCCCACTGCTTGAAACAGTCAACTACATATGTGACCAGCTGATAGAAAAGAAAATAGATGTAGGAATCCCACCCGAAAAGGTCAAAGAATTATTATTGAAATGCACTATGAATGTTCAGTTTATGTTCAATAATGGTTTTTATAGACAAGTTGATGGGGTAGCCATGGGATCACCTTTGGGCCCTTTGCTAGCGGATATTTTCCTGGCAAAGCTTGAAAATGGTCCACTCAAAGACACGATTAAAGGGCTTGACTATTATTGTCGATACGTAGATGATACGTTTATCGTTTGTAATAGAAATCTTAATAAACAAGAGCTTCTGAATACCGTTAATAGTGTTCACCCAACTATTCAGTTTACATGTGAAGAAGAAGACAATAACAGTTTACCTTTCCTAGACGTCCTACTTACCATGAAGACAGACGGATATCTACAAAGGAAATTATTTAGAAAGAAAACTTGGACGGGTCAGTACACCCATTTCCATAGTTTCACACCGATTCAGCATAAAAGAAACTTAGTTAAGTGTCTTAGCTACAGAATAAAACGAATATGCTCAGAGGAATGCATTAAGGAAGAAATGCATAAACTAAAACTCACACTGCAAGAAAATGGATATCCACAGAGCTTCCTAAAAAAGTATATGTCAATACCTATAGACAGGGTAAAGGTGGATACCGTAGACAAGAAACCTTTGTATCTTAAGTTAAGTTACAAAGGGGAAATTGCAGCTGACATTCTAAAGTGTCGACTCAATAGAGCAATAGATAGAACATTTCCCGCAGCTAAATTGGTACTAAACTTCTCAACTAAACCAGTACTCACACAGCAAGTAAAGGATAAATTACCAAAGATGGCCTCATCAATGTGCATCTACGAATTCAACTGCTCATGTGGAGCTAGTTATATTGGCCGTACTCAGAGGGCTTTATCCATGCGCGCACGTGAACATGTACCTGTATGGTTGAGTAAAGGAGTAACCAAAGGCATAAATAGTGCAGTCTTAGCCCACTTGGTAGATACTGGACACCCGATAAAACTTGACCAAGCGTTCTCAGTTATTTACCGCGTTCCTAGTAATTTATCTAGAGGAGCTCGACTACGTCTTCTATCAGTAGCTGAAGCAGTTGCAATTAATACCAGAAGACCATCCCTCTGCATACAGAAGAAGTATGTTCAACCTCTATGTTTACCTTGGCCTACAATAAAGCCAACAAATCCTCCATTAACACTATAAATTCCTTTCGCGATTTTCTTTTCTTTTCCTTCTTCTATTCCTCTGTTTCATTGACAAACGTTCATTTTCGACTTTTATGATTTCATGACCTTTCTTATGATTTTATTACCTTAGGTTTAAATAGTGCTTTTCTAACTTACTATCGTATTTACAAAATCCTGTTCATTCCACTTCATTATATTCATTATTATTATTTGACAATCATTCACCAATAGTACATTTAATTTTAATTTTACACCATATCATCGTTATTATTTTACAATCATTCTTATTGTTGTTATTTTCAACCTTGAACTTAAGTCTAGACCGCCCCATTCGTTGGTTTATTTTCATATTGCCTCACACACCCTGATTACACTCACTCTTGAAACCTGTATTTTCTGTTAACTATATTTATATATATATACACACACTTCATTAAATTATTTCATCTCATTCTGTCCCATGTTGTTATTGACCATGCATATTAAAAAAACTTATATGACTATTGTTTCATCCCATCTTATACTTGTTCCACAATACACTTTCTGATATGATTCTAATTCGCCTTTACTGGCTATTGTATGCTTACATTAATGGATTTATAATTGTAGAGCCTGAAGAAGAATTTATTGAAAACAATTGTTCGCTCTAAATATTTTGTTTCATCATGATTTCTTTTCGACTAATTGTTTGGAAGTGACTATATCCATATCTTCAATGTCATTTTTGCATCAATAATGTTGTATTCTTCACAGTCTTAGCGCGTGTATCACTGGAAGCAATTCAAAAACTTGCATGCGGGTGGTGAAGTACCACAGCTGCCTTCCTCTCATACTGAAATTCCGAAGGGCAGCTAACAACTAATAACTCTGGAGAAAATGAATCAACTAGGAACCAATTGTCTAATAAATACGGGGAGGGAAGTGGAGTTGGATAGCCTGGATATATACTTAGAAGGCCATTCTGCAAAATTATTACGCGCAACACATCCAGATTGGAAATGATGAGTTGAATGTTACTCATTGAAACGCAAGCGATCATGTGGCGAGGAAATGAAACTTTGTGAGTAATAGAATTATCAGTTAAGAGAAACTTTAGAGAAGCCGATTGGAATGAAAAGATGCTGCCAAAACCCTATGTTCCATCTGAAACTTTAAGGAATGAAATAAACAATAAAATAATTTTCCCAGCTTATTCTTATACAAAGTTCCATGTAGTATAGTCTAATATTGTTGCGCAGTGCTTAGAACAACGCTGTTTTTCCACAATCACTAATTTTGATGCATCCTCAAATACCAACATCTGTGAAATCGCAGTAATTAGTAACAGAATTTTCATTGAGTTTATGACATGAGGCATTTGAATCAGCCAGCAGAATCCAGCACAAATTAGTGGGAGACGATAATTTAGTTTTTATCCTATGTGTCTGACCATCATAGGGAATTCCTAAAAGAATAACCCACCAAGTTAAATCTTTCAATTTACTCTTTATTTGGAAAAACGATATCCTCTTCAGTTTGATCAAACTTTTATGAAGTATTTTTGTATCCTTTCTAGGGCACTAAATAGGGGAGGAGGAGGAGCAGGAGGAGCAGCAGTAAGTAACAAAAACTGTCCAAAATAATTTTATAATTCATCTCAAAATTTCCATAAAATAAAGTTGAATTTTCATACACAGAATCGCTATTAGATAAACTGCGATTAGATAAAATTGAAATTCAAAGTATGAACTATGAAATCATTTCATTCGACAGAGACAGACTACTTGGAATTAAAAGTAGCTAGAAATGGATGAAAATGTAAATGAAGTAATTCAAAATTTCTGGAATATGATAACCGGAAACGATAGAATCTCTAGTCTGTAGCATTTTTGACTGTCGCACCCACAAAGTGTAACGCCGTATAGGAAGACGGAAAAACAGGAATCCTAGTAATTACTAATAATTTGAGGTACTACGTGGTAAAAATTATGAAAATGTTTAGAGTGTCATCAAATTTTTTCCAAGGGATTCTTTTGGATTCAGCTTAATTGATGTTCATAGCCTAATTTATATCCGCTTTTATATGAGATTTAAACTTTCTATTTTTTTATGGCCTTCTCGTATTAACTTTGTCTCAATCTGAATAAATACATGACAACTTCGATAAAGAAGGAAAGACCATATTTGCAGTATCAAAGGATATCATCATTCCATTTCACAGTTCCTCATCAGCTGCAAACTACCTGAAATAACAATGGTTATAACTAATAACACTTCACACTTCAATGTTTGAAAGGCAATAGCGAAAACATCATAAGATCAATACATCCGAAATATAAGTATTACAATTCATAGTTTATGTAACCATCAATTTATATACTATCAAACTATGAAGAGAAAACAAGGGGTTGAGAGAAGACAGGGAACAGAAAAATCTAATAAACAGTGTTAGCTTGTAGATCAACAATGCAACTCAAGAAGGTTAAGGTTGATCAAAAGTGAAAAATTGTTTTGTGGGCTGAACTCACTAGTGTGTATAACTAATCAGTGTAATGAAAGTAATACAAATACGAAGGGAGTGAGAGATTAACTACACTCTCTTTCTGTGTGTATAAGTTTCGTCTGAGATGTTTGATTGCAACTGCTTCCGCAAATCGTAGTAGATTTACTGTCCCTTACATGTTTAATATTTTGAAGGATTTGGAAATCTTGACAAAATGACCAGTATCCACAAGGTGCCTGGTAATTGCACTTTATAGATGTTTGCTTCCCTTTAAGCATAGGTTTCTTGGAATACGGTCTGAAAACCGGATAGAAGCTCTTCTTTCTGTCCTTCTCAGACCAAAGTTATACACACAGAAACGGAATATAGTCAATCCGTATTACTTTCATTACACTGATTAGTTATACACACTAGTGAGTTCAGCCCACAAAACAATTTTTCACTTTTGATCAACCTTAACCTTCTTGAGTTGCATTGTTGATCTACAAGCTAACACTGTTTATTAGATTTTTCTGTTCCCTGTCTTCTCTCAACCCCTTGTTTTCTCTTCATAGTTTGATAGTATATAAATTGATGGTTACATAAACTATGAATTGTAATACTTATATTTCGGATGTATTGATCTTATGATGTTTTCGCTATTGCCTTTCAAACATTGAAGTGTGAAGTGTTATTAGTTATAACCATTGTTATTTCAGGTAGTTTGCAGCTGATGAGGAACTGTGAAATGGAATGATGATATCCTTTGATACTGCAAATATGGTCTTTCTTTCTTTATCAAAATTTATCAAGGGAACCAAATTTATGAAATACACGACAACTCCTCGTTTTGTGTTGCACCTTAAGTTGTTTAGCTAGAATAGTAATCAGAGACAGTCGAATAAAGTATCAGACATATATATAAGTTTGGTTTCATTAACAGCCTTTCAAGATTTTCAGAAATCTACGATTGCTAAATAATCTAACAGAAACGAATGCAAATGATCTTAATGATGAGATTCAACTTCCAGTGAACTTTGTACACGGTCAGATGATTCAAGTTTACAACAAGACAACAAAGAAAAATTCATGAAATCATTGCGTATACAAATCGGTAGAATTTCAGCTAATATCCTCATGCGAGGCATATTCAAAATCGATGGCTTTCGTTAGACGATGAGATTGTATTAATTTTTATTTGATCATGTAATGAAAAGACTCAAGGTGACAAAGCAATGATGATATCAGTATTGGTACAGGTAAATACAAGTCGTCTGTGCAGGAGGTAAGAATCATAGTGGTAGAAACTATTCCAGTGATCATTCTGATTGTAAGTCGCCTCGACTACAATCTTCTTTAACAAGAGTCAGTAAAAATGAATCTCGACAGTTTTATGTTATGATTACTGAAGAATATCTTTTTAGGCAGAATGTTCGCATGATAAATAACTACACCGATTGTTTGCCGAACGGATGTTGACAATAAACCTTGTGCTTATTTACTTACACGATAATAGACAACGGCAAGTACAAACAACCCATCGCTTTATAAATTCACATTGTCTCGTGAAGCAATTCATCTGCACATTTCACCTTTTTGTGACTGCCTGTTCATCGATTTCCATTAATGCTATCCATCATAACGCTTTTGACTATAGTTGACAAATAATATGCTGAAGATTGGCAAACTAGGCTGATGAAACAGCCAGTTGTCCAGTACTTCAAGCTGGTTTTCCAATGCTTCTCTAAGTGATGTCAGCTTATTATGAAATCCTTCAACCAATCAAACAAACAGAATCCCTACGAAAACAAGTACTTGAAGATTAATACGCATACAATTAACTTTCAAACGTCAGCTAATAATAATATTACTCCGTGGGATTTCGGATAAATTTAATGGCACATCTCCATTTAAGCCTGTCACATCGATTTCTTGTTAGCTGGTTTCACGATTGCTGATAAGCTGTCATTTTCTCAATTCACCTCTGTCGGGTCCCTCTCTTCCCTAAGTCGTCCTTTTCTTATTTGCATTCCACTTGAAGTTTTGCCTAGAGAATTATTTCATTCAACGGTCTCCTCGGTGTGCATCCAGTAAACCTCCATTTCTTTCAGCTTATTTCTAGACAATAAATAATTGGTTTGTTGGTTCCCAGAGTTATTAAATGCATATTTCTTCTGATCGACTGTCTAAACCTCAGTATACAGAAAAGACAGCTGTTGACAGCAGTTGGCAATAGCCTTCTAGAAATACAACTGTCGACTACGGACATCTTTGTAACGTACAGGGGACTGACTTGACTCTATTGATGATCTGGATCTGGTTGTTCACACTTAGCGTAACATAATTTCACAGTGATTTCTTAATAATGAAGGTTTGTCTTGGTTTCCTTGCTTTCTTGACTGGCTTTGGTATCCTCATCCATGTCGTTTGTGGTTATCAGCGCTGGTAAAATGAGATTGGCCCCTAAAATTCTCTTGTAACACAACGAAAATTCAATCAAAAATTTCTCACCACAGAATACTTATATGGAAATCAGTAAAAATGTTGTGAACTAAAAGAAACAGATCTGTGGGTTTTATGCAGTTGAGTAATACTGAACCTTGTAAAATAAGATCACCTAAAGTACTTTACTCAGTTTAAGAAGAAGGTAAAACTTGCATTCTTTTCTGCAAGCTAACATCAGAAGTCTTTAATCCTATTTTAGAAAATATATCAAAGTAACATCTCAAAATATATTAAGTTGCATGCTAGCTACCCAGAAGGCCTACTTTCGACCAGATATGTCACCTACATCCATTGGGCTTCTGTGGTATACAAATGAACTGTTTTGCCATCATTGGATTACACAGAGGCAAGGAGTAAAATAACATTAAGTGTGTGAATGCATTTATTTGATAATAGGCCAACAAATTGTGCTCAGAATCTCATCCACTTGTTACCACTTTATTAGTAAACGCATCTAATGTGGAGTTATATTCTACCACAATGCCTAAATTCTACTCGTATTATTCATAACGTTATATTTCATGGAACCAAAATGATCAGCAAGCATAATGTTTATCAAATGCTGTTTCTTTTATGATACTTTGCAGAAACATACATAAGCACAGTCCTTAGTCATTGAATTGGATAGTGACGGGTTAATAAAAACTGGAAAATTCTGATATGATAACTACAATAAGTGTACTGAAGTCTCATTTCTTTCGTTGTTTTTTCTATTACAAACAGTTCCGCAAACAGTGAATACGAAAACACTTAACTGTAGTAAACTTTTGATTATGTATAATTAATAAACGCTTCATTACAACAAATCTTATTTTACTGAGTAATTCACCAAACATCTAGTTCTTTTTATGAATTTTGAGAAAACAATTATGTTATGATTCCTTTAGAGTAAAATTGTAAAATTACCGTTTTTCTCTGTTCTCTGAAGTTTTGTTTGACTGGCTCCATGATCACAAATAAGCCCTTATTACATCTTCATATGATCTCCAAGGTGTTGACCGAGGATAACCAACTATTTGTTCCATAGTTGTGTTCCATTCCAGGGTCAGCTTAGCATGTGATGTTACTTAATACTCACCTCAGCGTATGTTCAATCCACCAATCTTCATTTTTTTTCAGAATATTTACTAAGTGATCCGATCGTGGTTGCTTAACCACCGTAGTTCGATGTTGATTACTCTTTCCAGATGACAAGGGTTACTGAGTGAAGATTGCTGTTAATAAAAGTCTGGAGTCTGTTGTAATTGCTTCTGATGACATGTCAGCTCTTTGAAACATACGGAGGGATCGGGCTGACAGTTTCGATGATCTGGATTCAGTTCTTTATCCTAAGCGTAGTAGATTTTCAAAGTGATTTCAAATTATTTGAGTTTTGTCTTGTCTTTCTAATCTTCGCTTTATTGCCTTCAATAGGAAAATGTAATTTAGAAGTACACGGATCACTAACGAATGTTCCTTATGTGACGTATCTTCGAAATTGTACTGTTAATTTGTTTTTCTGCAAGTTCACATTGAATGTCAGTAGAGGTCATATTTTTGCATCACTTGATGATTCAAACATGAAATCACTTATCAGTGTGAAAAAATGGTTGAATTGTGAAACTTGGTTGAGTAGTCTTGCTAAATCTAAACACACAGATTGATGAATAGTGTAGAGCAGCAGCTCTAAAGGCTGTGTGTTGCATCAGACTACTTAAACATGTTCCTCAATACATCCATCTCAAATTCGATAAGTTTCAAAGCCTTTCAGATTCGGGTTTGTTTATTCACCTCCTATTTAACACTACTATTTACACACATAAAATCCAATAAGAAAGTTGTGTGACCAAATTGTTGATAGTGAGTTACAATCCGTTTCCGTTATCGCAGCTGTGTGATATAATTGTAAAGCACTTAGTTGTAAGGAAGAGCATAAAATCCAGTGTAGTGGAGATATGTCTCTGAAGCCCCATGTTCAGCATGGACCTCAGGAGGTGAATAATAATAAGAAGAATTTGCCCCAATTATTTCGCTGCACAAATTAACTCGTCGTTGTTTTTGCATAGTGGCTACTAGCAAGTAAGCAGTCTCTCCCATCAACAAAATAAACCACACTCAAACCTTCAGTGGATCAGTTAGTCACCTGCCCCACTTCACTGATGAAAATATAGTCTTAATCAAGTCCAACTGGATCTGAATCGGGAATCAGAAGAATGACCTACTTTCAATTATTTTGACTGTGAACAAACAAGTGTGTCTGAAAATTGTAAATCCACTAATATCGTTCTGACAAACATGTCTTCTCATGTCTGCTATAGGGTTTGAGTTGCAGACTAACTATACATTCCACTGTGAACCCAACATATTCAGGTCACAATATGTGACATGCTTCAAACCAGCCAATCTTAGCAAAACATAAAAACTGTATAACCAGCAATCAAAACGTTTTGGTACCACCGACACGAATTTAAGTGTGTTATTCAGGCCTCTGAAAATGAGATTACACTCTTATTATTGTCATGTTACTGAATGAACCTCTTGCCTTCGAGAGAATATGATTATTACTACTCGGACAACTGTCCTCAATATCAGTCTATTCTGTGGTAGGCCTCTGAATCATTTCTCAGTGTACATGGTTGTAGGAACACGCCAGTCATCCTAAATTCTAACATCACTAGTTACCTGTTTTACCATCGTCCAAGCTATCACCAATGCTGACACCTCGAACTCTCTCACTATTCAACAGCTAACTGAGTTACATAATCGTGCTTATCCGTCTCGGTCGAGCACTTCAGTCCAATCGATCACCGGGAACGTCGAAATTGAATTATTGATATTAACTGATATCCATTGCAGAACAAGTGGCTGTCATGACCTGATCAGTGCAGTGGATAGCACTGTTCCAAAACAAATGTGTTTCCATCATTTTCGGCTAAGCAGGATTATATTCATGAGTCCACGGTACCTGCATACCATTATAATTATTGATTCTTTGCATCCTCACTAGAACGGAGCGATTCAGTGATACATCTTCATTCCACTAGGTTACTTGCAATCACTTCCAGCTGGCTCCATCATTGTCCACGAAATGTTAAATTTCTCTCCAAATAATTTTTATTCATTTATTTTTATTTTTGATTTACAGCTTGATTCCACACTGTATTTTTGGTACAAGTATGGAATTTTCAGCATGGATATCGGTAGCCCAAAATTTGCAGGCCGACCATAGATATCAGGTATGCGCCGGTGTGGGCTCGAACCTCGGACCATGTGCATGGTCGGCGAGAGTCCTAGCTACTGTGCCACCGACGCACACTCAGTGTCAATCTCTCGACTAGACGAAACTCGTTCGGTGTGATTCAGGTTCCACTCAGAGACCTGGAGTGGAGCGTATTCACTTCATCCATCTGATGACTTGCAGTCAGACTTTCTCGAATGTTTTATTTTTTTAATTTTTTTAAATTTTTATTTTTGATTACAGCTTGATTCCACACTGTATTTGTGATACAAGTATGGGATTTTCAGCATGGATAGGCCGACCATAGATATCAGGTGTGCGTTGGCAGAGGATAGAACCTCGGACCATGTGAATGGTCGGCGAGAGTCATAACCACTGTGCCACCTACGCACAAAACTCGTGATGGCGGTGGTATTCGAACCCATGCCCTTTCGGACTGGTGCCTTAAACCAGCGCCTTACACCGCTCGGTCACTCCAGCCATTCTTTCTAGTCGACCATGTGATATTGAGAATAGAAAGAGAAAGTATCTGCTAATGAAGTTTTGCAGTAATGTGTTGGGAAATCTTCTGGTGATACGCTCATCAAGTCCATGAACTCCGTAGGAGCACTGGCCCTTTTTAACATTAGTTTTGAAAACGTGTGTGTGTACTACTGATTACTGAAAATCTTCACATTAATTTCAGGGTAATGAACACGCATCCTAATCTCTCAATACTGCCAGTAGTATCTCCATCATTGCTTCATATTTCCTACTGTCATCCTTACATATCTACCAATAATTAGGAGGTCAGTCGACATTTTAAACCAACCAGAATATTAAAATACTCAGCTGACTTTCAAATCTCTTTCAACCAAAGTTTATTCCATCCTACTTCGCTCTCGTTACGGTGTATACCGTCTCACCATGACGAAGGCAACAATCAAAATCATTGAAAACCATTAGGTCAAGAAAAAAATATGATAGGTTTGTATTACATTTACTAATAACGATTTTACAGAAGTAAAACTAATAATGTGTACACTGGAATAACAAGGTTAGTTTTTACAAGAAACAGATGTCAGGTTTATCGAAAGCTAATCAAGTGTCAATCAAAATATTAAAAAATAAAATACATAAGTCATCAACCATTATTATGGCACAAAATTCAAAACATCTCATATTATCTGGTCAGTGGCCGCTGTCGTATAAAACAAACTATTACACCGATAACTCCAACTCCTGCGAGACAGCCGAATACAATGGCCACAATCGTTCCTGCTCCTATACCTGTCATGAATATGATAACAACATAAATATAGTATGATTAACGGAAAACAAGGATGTAAGCTATGTGCCAGCTACTTTGCCAGTTACTTAACACTTCATTCTACACGGACATTCGCAGTGTCTAACCGGCGACTTCAACTCTTTCATCCTGAGATGCGTCCTTACAATAATTCGCCGACAAATTTTTGTCATGCACCCATGAACATGATAGTGGTATCGTCCGTATATTTAGGCATGCGGAAAAAACATCACAGTTTGTATGTCAGAAACATACAGATCATGTTAGCATGAGTTGGCTGTACTCTCAGTATGAAATGGAAGAGAAAATTGAAGTGATCGTGCAGTTGATTGAAAAGGTGTTGAGAGAATCGAGTGAAATAGAAGTGTTCTTCTGAAGCTCTACGCTTCAGTCGAAAAGCAATCAATAAACAGTAGCTATAATCATAATAATTACGTGCTGGCATAATGTGAGTATCTGCATAACTGAAGTCTAGTCAAGATGACCTGAATTTAGCTTTCATATTATAAAATAACGATAAAGCAATTGGGTGAATAACACTCTACATGATTACGTTTCAATAAAAACACTGACTCACCGACATTACGTTTAGAGTTATCAGGTTTCTGCGTTGTAGTATAAGTATCCATCGTCATTGTATTCTCAGTTTCACCTCCAGGAGTAGTTTCAGCCATAGTTGTAATCTCTGGAGTGGTTTCAGCTATAGTTGTAATTTCTGGAGTGGTTTCAGCTGTACCGTTCCTATTGGTTTATTGGTTGTTGTAATCCCAGGAGTAGTTTCACCCATAGTTGTAATCTTTGGAGTGGTTTCAGCTATAGTTGTAATTTCTGGAGTGGTTTCAGCTACAGTTGTAATCCCAGGAGTAGTTTCACCCATAGTTGTAATCTCTGGGGTGGTTTCAATGACACCTTGACCAAAATTTACAACATCCTTGTTTTCAATGCGTGTGATAGAATTGCTTAGTGATCTGACTACTATCAACTGCAGTATACAAAAGAACACTGCGGAGAACTTCATTGTATTTTTGTTCAAGGTTTCAATTCATCTGAAAAGTGTTAAGAAAATAGGCTCTTCAGTTAATCAAAAATTTTGCAATGACTGTGTGATCCAAATGATAGAATATTGCTTGTAAACATGCGTCTAATTAGCAGGAAACGGTGTATTGCCTTAAGCTTGAAATAACAAGTACTATTAAATATGAGGTGATATTACTGTACGTATTGCACTCATCGATAACCGTGTTGCCTGTTCAGAGTATCTTAATTATCATTACCATTGTAGTGGAGACAGAGGTGTCTATTCAACACACAATCTTAATCCCTTGCATAAACCGGTGTCAGTAGCAGAATTGTGCATCGGTGGCATCAGTTTAAGGGTGCTCACCAACCACGCATGTGGTTCGAGTTTGATTCCTGTCTCAATACTGTCTTAAGCCTCACACACTACCAGTAGTCAGCTCAGCCTTGTTAAGAAAACACGACTACATTGAAACTTGAGACGCATTAAAGCACTTTACGTTTTACAAATTATCATAATAATAATAATAATAATTATTATTATTAACAAATTATTGTGTTGAACTTACCTCACAATACTTTCAAGCAGAGAATTCGAGACCTGAGGTTATTTATAGCGGAATATATTGTCCGTGGTGAATATACAATTCTCACTTACAGGTTTATATAGCTGTTTATTTATAATCATTATTATTATTATTATTGTTAATATTATTACCATTATTATTACTAAACAAGGCAGTTTCTCTTTACTCAACTCTCACTGGCATCCAGTAGCAAATACCTTACAAAATGTGTCCTTCATTCACATGAAACTGAACAACGTGAACAAGTTTAGGTACCTGCATGCAAAATATTCACATACACTTGTTACTGAGAATTAACAATATTAAGGCCACTAATTAAATAACAGTTGTGATAATAACAATAGGTAATTATGCATTAGAATAAAAGGGTTAAAGAATACTACTTAGCCTTTGTATGCAACATACATGGTTTGTGAGGTAGGAAATAAAAATAGTCAGATCAGCAGTGTGGATAAGGACTGAATAGTGCTCGCTGCGATGAAATACGCCTTTTTCTTCTCTCAATGACACGGTTTACAAAAAAGTCGGAAATCCGCAGTGACTCTTTTTCCCTCATTAAACGTCACAATTAGATTATCAAGAGATTGACAAGTGGCTGGTACAAGTAGTTTAATTCCTTCATGATTAGCTGAGTTGAAATAGAATTTGAAAAGAACACACAGATAGATATGTCATAAATTGTTGCTCCCCACTTATTTTTCACTTATGTGCCTCTAGTAGACAATACATGGTATGTGAGATCAGAAATACAAATAGTCAGATCAACAGTGTGGATAAAGACTGAATGGTGCTTCAAGTGAGTTTTAGACTTTCATTTATTTATTTTATTTTTTATTTTTGATTACAGCTTGATTCCACACTGTATTTTTGGTACAAGTATGGAATTTTCAGCATGGATATCGGTAGCCCAAATTTCGCAGGCCGACCATAGATATCAGGTGTGCGCCGGCGTGGGCTCGAACCCCGGACCATGCGCATGTCGGCGAGAGTCCTAACCACTGTGCCACCGACGCACATTTCCTGTGTCGTTGTTGAAATTTGCTCGTTTCGTCTCTTAATAACACGGTTTAACAAAACGGTATAAGTTACAGGTGACTCTCTGTCTCACACTGGACGTCGCAACTAAATTATCATGAGACTACAAGGTGTCTGGTACAGGTAATTGAATCTCTTCGTGATCACACAGTAATTCATATTGTCAGTTTACTGCTGAGTTGAAATAAAATTTGACAAGAACACACAGATATGTCATCCACTGATGCTTCCTGCATATTCTCCACTAACGTATCTCTGGTAGACGCCTTCGAGTATATCTGCGAACAGATTACAGTAAGGACATTGTGCACTGACATTCATATTATTAATGTGAAGCACCTATCGCTTAGATGTACAGTTATTGTCCAATGCTTCTCTGATAATGAAATGTACAAACAGATTGATTGAGTGGCCTTGCGATCTCCACTCGTTATTATATTTTGGAATATTCTATTGTAACGATGAAATAACTGAACTGAAGTAACTGTACTACTCTTGCGTAGATGGCGTTTTTTGTAATGTACGATAAAGGTCTATGTCGTGATATGATTTTCAGCCACATAGGTGATGTTCACCCAGTATGTGCATTTCACCTGTGATAGAAGAATACGATGAGTCTGTGCAATTTCTTGATGTCTCACTAACGAGAAGAGAGGAAGTTTCCATTAAAAGAACTATATTTATAATGTTAAAAACTGCATATCATTAAATAAACGTCTTTGGCATCACACTTTTGGAACACAAATGTAGTTTTGGTTAGATGCTCAGTATTTAGAACGCTTGGAACACGGTTTAGAGAAGGATCTTCAGTTCGTACTGGATATTCTGGGCGGAAACGGCTACTTGGAGAAGTTTGTAAAAGCCAACATGGGTTATAATAGTCACAACCATGAACTAGCAGTTGTGGAGAAAAAGGCATTATTTTGCGTCTACAAGTGAAGACGGATACCCATGTGCAGGTTCTATCCCCAAATCAAACCGAAGAAAAAAGGAAAATTTTCTACAGTGGATATCTGCACCTGTCCTTCTGTAGCCATCCCTTGGAGTGAACGCAAATATGCAGTTACAAATCCCTTCTTCTCATTCTTCGATGTATGTATTTTGGCAAGTAAAATGTCAGTGACATTTGGAGATAACACGATCGGGTTGTTTCAATGAGTAACTCATTTAACTGAGTGTGATTACGTCGGGTGCTGGACTGATTCTCTCCAGCACAAAGAGTATTATGTGCTTGGTTATCACACACACACACAAAATTTGTCACCTCACGATCCAAGTTCTAAAACTGCCGGCATTTCTATGCAATCTCATTGAGACCTCATACTTGGTGTTCTTCGGTATACATCAATTGACTTTTCAGGATATCCACTTTCTCAAAGGTGCTTCACAACATTGTCAAGTTCCTCAACAAGTATTTCTCACGCAACAAGACGTTTTAATATGGCCAACCAACTTCATTAAAAGAGGATAGTAAAAAAGCGATGGATTGTAATAATTATATTTGTTTATATTTGTCAGTGCATAAAAGCAGTTGATTAACCGTATTGCAGTTACGTAACAGGATGAAAAGTGTGATGGATGAGTTGTAGTTGTAGTCAGGAGGGAGATATAAACGAAGGAGTATATGGATTTATCCAAGAGTTCTGGGAATAACATGAGTTTTAAGGAGTTAGACAAGAAAACAAAAACAAAAAATGACGTCAATTGAAATTAACATTACCTGTCACCATGATAGTAGGAGTGGCTGAATAATTTACTTCTGTGTGCATAGCTTTTGCTGCTTTGAATTAGTGGCTTAGGCTTCAGAAATGCACAGGATATGAAGGTGTTCGTTGAGATTGAATGATCGATGTTGACAATAGGTTTAATTATCACACTGCTTATAGAGCCACTGTTGCCTTCTTCAGCCATCTAGGGTAGTCTTCCTGAACCCACTTAGACAAGTGCATGTCGAACGACAAAAGTGGCTAACTTGGGATGGAGACTTCTTCGTAAGATCTAGTTCTACTTGTGGAGAGTCACGATTGCACATGTGTGTGATTCGAGTGACAAGGAAATTAATTAAATTTCGTTCTGCTCAACATGCCCCTGAATGCAGCAAGTTCTTAGTTGACCGTCCGAAGTAGATTTCGTAATAACCAACCTGATTACGCTTCCATCAGGTCTTCCTATTAGTTCCACATCAAGAAGTATTTAATAGCCCCATTTGTCACCTCAGAAATGGATTTCATTGTCAAACGGCAGTTGTTAAATACTTGTAGCAATTGAATGGCATTGTAACTTGTATCGCCAGTGATGAAAATGTCATCTCGACTTCAATGGACCGTCCTCGAGATTACAACTGACTAATAATAAAAAAGATGTTCGTGACGACTTATTTCTTACATGAAAAAGTTGCATATAAATGTGATTGTGCAGCTAAAGAAAACGGATTCACCGAAGAAAGGGTCTTCACTGAACAATGAGTTTCGTTTTCATACATCACTCACAAAACATATCAATCAACACATGGAAGTAGGAATTCATAAGCAAGTAGAATTTCTCTGCCTTTCCAGCCATGTCACTTAATCCTCTAAATTCTTCTTTCTTCTGCTGTGAATAATTCTAGTTATATTTACTATGTATTATAATTCGTATTTTTCATTCTTGCATTCCTTCAATAACAAAGCTATCATTAGTGAATCAATGAAATCAAATCAGAATTATACTCCCCATCAAATTAATTTTATTATTGTGTACTTGAGTTTCGAATGCAATACCGAGCTTAAAAAACACATCTCCACCTTTTCGTTTACGTCCAAGATTGTCCATTATTCTCTCTTCTCCTCCAATTCGCGTCATCTCCTACATGCCACCCTTTGACACACACCCAACTAGTCGTTTCCCCTTCAGATTCCCCCGTGAGATGGTCCTCATTGAGCGTGTTGTCACTCAGTCGTTTCATAAGCGTTTGTTCAATTCATCTGCATTTTCTTCTGCATATTTCTTGAACTATAGGTTCTTATTTGGTTTGTTACACCGCAGAGTTTCTTATAGCTTATGCTTTCTGGGCGACTGGCCAACCAGTAAATATGCGGCCAGTGAGGAGGGCAGCTGTTGGAAGAAGTCTACTCTGATCTGTTGGAAAATGCTTTTTGTGACATACATATCAAGTTTCAGAACCACAACAAAAAGCATATATCCTAACCCATTTTACGTGAAGTTGAAACGATGATGGTATTTTGAACGTATGAAATATGTTAAGGCTTTTCCATGACTAGGGTTATAGGGGATTCGGGTATTATTCTCTAATCTATATTGTAATTGTGTAAAAGTTAGGAACTAACGAGATATACCAAACAGGCATGATAAATAAGTGAACGGAGAAAAAAAGAGACATACAAATGAGATGAGCAAAGGACAAAAATGCGCAGAAGGTATACCAGAAAGTGTGTGCGAATAGTTTGAGTTGCAGACTAACTATACATTCCACTGTGAACCCAACATATTCAGGTCACAATATGTGACATGCTTCAAACCAGCCAATCTTAGCAAAACATACAAACTGTATAACCAGCAATCAAAACGTTTTGGTACCACCGACACGAATTTAAGTGTGTTATTCAGGCCTCTGAAAATGGGATTACACTCTTATTATTGTCATGTTACTGAATGAACCTCTTGCCTTCGAGAGAATATGATTATTACTACTCGGACAACTGTCCTCAATATCAGTCTATTCTGTGGTAGGCCTCTGAATCATTTCTCAGTGTACATGGTTGTAGGAACACGCCAGTCATCCTAAATTCTAACATCACTAGTTACCTGTTTTACCATCGTCCAAGCTATCACCAATGCTGACACCTCGAACTCTCTCACTATTCAACAGCTAACTGAGTTACATAATCGTGCTTATCCGTCTCGGTCGAGCACTTCAGTCCAATCGATCACCGGGAACGTCGAAATTGAATTATTGATATTAACTGATATCCATTGCAGAACAAGTGGCTGTCATGACCTGATCAGTGCAGTGGATAGCACTGTTCCAAAACAAATGTGTTTCCATCATTTTCGGCTAAGCAGGATTATATTCATGAGTCCACGGTACCTGCATACCATTATAATTATTGATTCTTTGCATCCTCACTAGAACGGAGCGATTCAGTGATACATCTTCGTTCCACTAGGTTACTTGCAATCACTTCCAGCTGGCTCCATCATTGTCCACGAAATGTTAAATTTCTCTCCAAATAATTTTTATTTATTTTTTTTTATTTTTTATTTACAGCTTGATTCCACACTGTATTTTTGGTACAAGTATGGAATTTTCAGCATGGATATCGGTAGCCCAAATTTTGCAGGCCGACCATAGATATCAGGTATGCGCCGGTGTGGGCTCGAACCTCGGACCATGTGCATGGTCGGCGAGAGTCCTAACCACTGTGCCACCGACGCACACTCAGTGTCAATCTCTCGACTAGACGAAACTCGTTCGGTGTGATTCAGGTTCCACTCAGAGACCTGGAGTGGAGCGTATTCACTTCATCCATCTGATGACTTGCAGTCAGACTTTCTCGAATGTTTTATTTTTTTAATTTTTTTAAATTTTTATTTTTGATTACAGCTTGATTCCACACTGTATTTGTGATACAAGTATGGGATTTTCAGCATGGATAGGCCGACCATAGATATCAGGTGTGCGTTGGCAGAGGATAGAACCTCGGACCATGTGAATGGTCGGCGAGAGTCATAACCACTGTGCCACCTACGCACAAAACTCGTGATGGCGGTGGTATTCGAACCCATGCCCTTTCGGACTGGTGCCTTAAACCAGCGCCTTACACCGCTCGGTCACTCCAGCCATTCTTTCTAGTCGACCATGTGATATTGAGAATAGAAAGAGAAAGTATCTGCTAATGAAGTTTTGCAGTAATGTGTTGGGAAATCTTCTGGTGATACGCTCATCAAGTCCATGAACTCCGTAGGAGCACTGGCCCTTTTTAACATTAGTTTTGAAAACGTGTGTGTGTACTACTGATTACTGAAAATCTTCACATTAATTTCAGGGTAATGAACACGCATCCTAATCTCTCAATACTGCCAGTAGTATCTCCATCATTGCTTCATATTTCCTACTGTCATCCTTACATATCTACCAATAATTAGGAGGTCAGTCGACATTTTAAACCAACCAGAATATTAAAATACTCAGCTGACTTTCAAATCTCTTTCAACCAAAGTTTATTCCATCCTACTTCGCTCTCGTTACGGTGTATACCGTCTCACCATGACGAAGGCAACAATCAAAATCATTGAAAACCATTAGGTCAAGAAAAAAATATGATAGGTTTGTATTACATTTACTAATAACGATTTTACAGAAGTAAAACTAATAATGTGTACACTGGAATAACAAGGTTAGTTTTTACAAGAAACAGATGTCAGGTTTATCGAAAGCTAATCAAGTGTCAATCAAAATATTAAAAAATAAAATACATAAGTCATCAACCATTATTATGGCACAAAATTCAAAACATCTCATATTATCTGGTCAGTGGCCGCTGTCGTATAAAACAAACTATTACACCGATAACTCCAACTCCTGCGAGGCAGCCGAATACAATGGCCACAATCGTTCCTGCTCCTATACCTGTCATGAATATGATAACAACACAAATATAGTATGAATAACGGAAAACAAGGATGTAAGCTATGTGCCAGCTACTTTGCCAGTTACTTAACACTTCATTCTACACGGACATTCGCAGTGTCTAACCGGCGACTTCAACTCTTTCATCCTGAGATGCGTCCTTACAATAATTCGCCGACAAATTTTTGTCATGCACCCATGAACATGATAGTGGTATCTTTCGTTTACTTAGGCATGCGGAAAAAACATCACAGTTTGTATGTCAGAAACATACAGATCATGTTAGCATGAGTTGGCTGTACTCTCAGTATGAAATGGAAGAGAAAATTGAAGTGATCGTGCAGTTGATTGAAAAGGTGTTGAGAGAATCGAGTGAAATAGAAGTGTTCTTCTGAAGCTCTACGCTTCAGTCGAAAAGCAATCAATAAACAGTAGCTATAATCATAATAATTACGTGCTGGCATAATGTGAGTATCTGCATAACTGAAGTCTAGTCAAGATGACCTGAATTTAGCTTTCATATTATAAAATAACGATAAAGCAATTGGGTGAATAACACTCTACATGATTACGTTTCAATAAAAACATTGACTCACCGACATTACGTTTAGAGTTATCAGGTTTCTGCGTTGTAGTATAAGTATCCATCGTCATTGTATTCTCAGTTTCACCTCCAGGAGTAGTTTCAGCCATAGTTGTAATCTCTGGAGTGGTTTCAGCTATAGTTGTAATTTCTGGAGTGGTTTCAGCCATAGTTGTAATCTTTGGAGTGGTTTCAGCTATAGTTGTAATTTCTGGAGTGGTTTCAGCCATAGTTGTAATCCCAGGAGTAGTTTCACCCATAGTTGTAATCTTTGGAGTGGTTTCAGCTATAGTTGTAATTTGTGGAGTGGTTTCAGCTACAGTTGTAATCCCAGGAGTAGTTTCACCCATAGTTGTAATCTCTGGGGTGGTTTCAATGACACCTTGACCAAAATTTACAACATCCTTGTTTTCAATGGTGTGATAGAATTGCTTAGTGATCTGACTACTATCAACTGCAGTACACAAATCAACACTACGGAGAACTTCATTGTATTTTTGTTCAAGGTTTCAATTCGTCTGAAAGTGTTAAGAAAATAGGCTCTTCAGTTAATCAAAAATTTTGCAATGACTGTGTGATCCAAATAATAGAATATTGCTTGTAAACATGCGTCTAATTAGCAGGAAACGGTGTATTGCCTTAAGCTTGAAATAACAAGTACTATTAAATATGAGGTGATATTACTGTACGTATTGCACTCATCGATAACCGTGTTGCCTGTTCAGAGTATCTTAATTATCATTACCATTGTAGTGGAGACAGAGGTGTCTATTCAACACACAATCTTAATCCCTTGCATAAACCGGTGTCAGTAGCAGAATTGTGCATCGGTGGCATCAGTGTTAGGGTGCTCACCAACCACGCATGTGGTTCGAGTTTGATTCCTGTCTCAATACTGTCTTAAGCCTCACACACTACCAGTAGTCAGCTCAGCCTTGTTAAGAAAGCACGACTACACTGAAACTTGAGACGCATTAAAGCACTTTACGTTTTACAAATTATCATAATAATAATTATTATTATCATTATTATTGACAAATTATTGTGTTGAACTTACCTCACAATACTTTCAAGCAGAGAATTCGAGACCTGAGGTTATTTATAGCGGAATATCTTGTCCGTGGTGAATATACAATTCTCACTTACAGGTTTATATAGCTGTTTATTTATAATCATTATTATTATTATTGTTAATATTATTACCATTATTATTACTGAACAAGGCAGTTTCTCTTTACTCAACTCTCACTGGCATCCAGTAGCAAATACCCTACAAAATATGTCTTTCATTCACATGAAACTGAACAACGTGAACAAGTTTAAGTACCTGCATGCAAAATATTCACATACACTTGTTACTGAGAATTAACAATATTAAGGCCACTAATTAAATAACAGTTGTGATAATAACAATAGGTAATTATGCATTGGAATAAAAGGGTTAAAGAATACTACTTAGCCTTTGTATGCAACATACATGGTTTGTGAGGTAGGAAATAAAAATAGTCAGATCAGCAGTGTGGATAAGGACTGAATAGTGCTCGCTGTGATGAAATACGCCTTTTTCTTCTCTCAGTGACACGGTTTACAAAAAAGTTGGAAATCCACAGTGACTCTTTGTTCCTCATTAAACGTCACAATCAGATTATCAAGAGATTGACAGATGGCTGGTACAAGTAGTTTAATTCCTTCATGATTAGCTAATGGCGACGCTGGCACAGTGGTTAAGACGCTCGCCGACCATGCACATGGTCCGGGGTTCGAGCCCCGGCCGGCGCACCTCTTTACCTCGCTAGGCCAGTAGTGAGACTGGTAAAGAGGAAAGGTTGGGCATGAGGCTAGTAACCCCATCCTGTAAAAATCAACACTGCTACGGAATCTTCAAGCCTCTAGCTTGGAGCCCTATGTTCCGCTGGGAACGTGAAGGAAAAAAAATGATTAGCTAATAAAGCATACTATCAGTTGACTGCTGAGTTGAAATAGAATTTGAAAAGAACACACAGATAGATATGTCATCCATTGTTGCTCCCTCCTTATTTTTCACTAATGTGCCTCTAGTATACAATACATGGTATGTGAGATCAGAAATACAAATAGTCAGATCAGCAGTGTGGATAAAGACTGAATGGTGCTTCAAGTGGGTTTAAGACTTTCATGTGTCGTTGTTGAAATATGCCCGTTTCGTCTCTGGATAACACGGTTTAACAAAACGGTATAAGTTACAGGTGACTCTCTGTCTCACACTGGACGTCGCAACTAAATTATCATGAGACTACAAGGTGTCTGGTACAGGTAATTGAATCTCTTCGTGATCACACAGTAATTCATATTGTCAGTTTACTGCTGAGTTGAAATAAAATTTGACAAGAACACACAGATATGTCATCCACTGATGCTTCCTGCATATTCTCCACTAACGTATCTCTGGTAGACGCCTTCGAGTATATCTGCGAACAGATTACAGTAAGAACATTGTGCACTGACATTCATATTATTAATGTGAAGCACCTATCGCTTAGATGTACAGTTATTGTCCAATGCTTCTCTGATAATGAAATATACAAACAGCTTGATTGAGTGGCCTTGCGATCTCCACTCGTTCTGGTACTTGGGAATGTTCTATTATAACGATGAAGTGACTGAAATGGGACTGTACTATTGTTGCGTAGATGGCATTTTTATAATGTACGATAGAGGTATATGTAGGGATTTTATTTTGAGCCACATCGGTGATGTCCACCCAGTAGTGCATTTCACCTGTGATAGAAGAATACGATGAGTCTGTGCACTTTCTTGATATCTCACTAATGAGAAGAGAGGAAGGTTTCATCAAAGGACTACATTTATGATGTTAAAGACTGCATCTCATTACATAAACTTCCTTGGCATCACACTTTTGGAACACAAATGTAGTTTTGGTTAGATGCTCAGTATTTAGAACGCTTGGAACACGGTTTAGAGAAGGATCTTCAGTTCGTACTGGATATTTTGGGCGGAAACGGCTACTTGGAGAAGTTTGTAAAAGCCAACATGGGTTATAATAGTCACAACCATGAACTAGCAGATGTGGAGAAAAAGGTATTATTTTTGCGTCTACAAGTGAAGAGGGATACCCGTGTGCAGGTTCTATCCCCAAATCAAACCGAAGAAAAAAAGAAGATTTTCTACAGTGGATATCTGCACCTGTCCTTCTGTAGCCATCCCTTGGAGTGAACGCAAATATGCAGTCACAAATCCCTTCTTCTCATTCTTCGATGTATGTATTTTGGCAAGTAAAATGTCAGTGACATTTGGAGATAACACGATAGGGTTGTTTCAATGAGTTACTCATTTAACTGAGTGTGATTACGTCGGGTGCTGAACTGATCCTCTCCAGCACAGAGTTCATTCTGTACTTGGTTATTACACACAAAATTTGTCACCTCACGATCCAAGTTCTAAAACTGCTGGCATTTACATGCTATCTAATCACGACTTCATAATTGGTGTTCTTCGGTATATATCAATTGACTTTTCAGGATATCCACTTTCTCAAAGGTGCTTCGCAACAATGTCAAGTTCCTCACCAAGTATTTCTCACACAACAAGACGTTTTAATATGGCCAGACAACTTCATTAAAAGAGGATAGTAAAAAAGCGATGGATTGTAATAATTATATTTGTGAATATAATTCAGTGCATAAGAGCAGTTGACTAACTGTATTTCACTTACGTAACAGGATGAATCGTGTGATGGATGAGTTGTAGTTGTAGTCAGGAGGGAAATATAAACGAAGGAGTATATATATTCATGCAAGAGTTCTGAGGAATTACACGAGTCATAAGGAGTTAGAAAGCAAACAAAAAAACAAAGAATAAAGTCAATTGAAATCAACAATAGTTGTCACCGTGATAGTAGGAGTGTCTGAATAATTTACTTCTGTGTGCATAGCTTTTGCTGCTTTGAATAAGTGACTAAGGCTTCAGAAATGCAGAGGATATGAAGGTGTTCGTTGAGATGGAATGATTAGTGTTGACAATAGGTTTAATTATCACGCTGCTTATAGAGCCACTGTTGCCTTTCTATAAACGTGTGGGATAATCTTCTTTAACCCTCTTAGACATTAAATGTGTGGAATAACAAATGTGTCTGACTTGGGATGAAGACTTCTTCAGAAGATCTAGTTCTACTTGTAGAGAATCAGGATTGTACATGTGTGGGATCCGAGTGGCAAGGGATTTAATTAAATTTCGTTTTCGTTCAAAAGGCCCCTAATTGGACCAAGTGCATAGTTGACCGTCCGAATTCGATTTCGTAATAACTAACTTGAGTAGGCTTCAATCAGATCTTCCTGTTAGTTACACTTCAAGGCCTCCTCTGTCACCTCAAAAATGGATTTTATTGTCGATGAAACTTATTAAATACTTGTAGCAATTGAATGGCGTCGTAACTTTTATCGCCAGTTATGAAAATGTTGTCACCATACCTTGCAGACAGTTGTGGTGGACTTCAATGGACCGTCCTCGAGACTAGAACTGTCTTTTAATAAAAACCATGTTCATGAAAACTTATTTTTTTTGTAACTACACTCTTTCATGAAACTAATTGTGTATCAATGAGATTGTGCATCTAAAGAAAACGGATTCATCGAAGAAAGGCTCTTCACTGAACAATGAGTTTCGTTTTCATAAATCATTTCCAAAACATATCAATCTACACATGGAAGTTAGAAATCACAAATAAGTAGAATTTCTCAGCCTTTCCAGCCATGTCACTTAATCCTCTAAATTCTTCTTTCTTCTGCTGTGAATAATTCTAGTTATATTTACTATGTATGATAATTCGTATCCTTAATTCTTGCATTCCTTCAATAACAAAGCTATCATTAGTGAATCAATGAAATCAAATCAGAATCATACTCCCCATGATATTAATATTATTATTGCTTACTTGAGTTCCGAATGGAATACAGGGATTTAAAAACACATTTCCTCTTTTTTCTACTTCCTACTGTCCTCTTCTGTTACGTCCAAGATTGTCCATTATTCTCTCTTCTCCTCCAATTCGCATGATCTCCTACATGCCACCCTTGGACACACACCCAACTCTTCGTTTCCCCTTCAGATTCCCCCATGAGGTGGTCTGCATTGAGCACGTTGTCACTCAGTGGTTTCCTTAGCGTTTTCCAAATTCATCTGTATTTTCGTCCACATATTTCATGAACGATAGGTTCTTATTTGGTTTGTTAGACCGTAGAGTTTTGTTATGGCTAATTCTTTCTGGACAACTGGCCAACCAGTAAATATTAAGCCAGTGAAGAGGGCAACTGTTGGTAGAAGTCTACTCTGGCCTGTTGGAAATGCTTTTTGTGACACATAGGCCAAGTTTT